GTCCCTGCTCGGCAGGGAGTCTGCTTCTCCCTCTGACCCTCCTCCCTCTCATGCTCTCTGTCTCTCATTCTCTCTCTCGCAAATAAATAAAATCTTAAAAAAAAAAAATTAAAAAAAAAAAGAAAGTTCATGGCTTTCATGTTCTCACTATCATAACCAAATCTGTTTATAAAAATGTGCTGTTCTGTTTGAACAAGAGCATGTGCTATGGGCCGCACTCGATGCCAGAACAAGTCTCCTCTCCCTACTCCTCAACAGCATGGTCCAGAATAAAACTCAGCATGCAAGGAGCTCCTGGCTTCTAAGGCAGTACAGTTCTTTGAAGGCACCAAAGATAATTACCAGGAAGATAATTCAAACAAGGACAGTCTTTGCCTCTGCCAAACACCTCAAGGGTCACAGCAATTAATAGCTTCTGGTATATTTTAGCCAAGAGTAGTATAATAATACTCGCATTTAAAAGTGGCTTAAGACAATGGTAACGCATAGCCCAATTTGCACCCACTTTTTCCTGTGCCAGACTGTGGCTGCCCACAGTTTCACTAACTCTGTTCTGCTTCACACAGGAGGTAGAAATGGGGAAAAGCTCCCCAAGACCCTTGCTGCAGGCTGGAGGACTGAATCAAGAGGACACAAGGAGATCCGATCCCCAGGCCCTCTCAGGGCTCTCTTCCTACTCAGAATGACAACTTCTGCCAGATACTGTGGCTCTTCAAGTCCACCCCTTCATCTGCAAACAGTTGGCCAAAAGACAGAGATATTCACTTGCTGCTACCGACCCTTTACAGGTAGCCTTCATTATGGAAGCTGTCGTTTGTAACCTGATTTGGGTCTAAGGCACATTTAAATGTACCTCAATAAAATATCAATAAGCCAGACATCATGATTATGTCAGTTCATTGAGTTCGAGGCCAGAACAACTTGACACAGGTAAATGGGAACCTATTACACTTTGGCATCCCACCCCTAATAATCACAGACGAACAGGCACTTGTTAGAAGGAGAAACCACTTCTGTAAAGTACCAGAATAGATAGTGCCTTCCAGAATCCTAAAAGTCAGCCGGGAAGGGAGCTCAAGGCTTCCTGGGATTTAATCCACCTTGCTGCCTGTGAAGTCACACTCCTTCCTGCTTAATTACAAAAAAGAAGAAGCAGGTTACTCAATGCCTTCACTGTAGTAAAGTAAATAGCCAATACAGGTATGCCCCAGAATTAATACACCGCATTGTAGAAATCTACATCATCACCTATAGTCAAACCGTGGCACTTACAGGTAAACATGCTGATAATTTTGTGGACGAGGCTGAAGATTGGATTTCTTGAGTTAAAAAAAAAATTGTCTAACTCACTGACATAGAAACATGTAATGAGGGGCGCCTGGGGGGCTCAGTTGGTTGAGCAACTGCCTTCGGCTCAGGTCATGATCCCAGGGTCTTGGGATCGAGCCCCGCATCGGGCTCCCTGCTCAGCAGGAAGCCTGCTTCTCCCTCTCCC